TGACTCATTGATCTTTCGACGTTTCAAACATTGCAGGATTTCGGCGGTTCGCGTTGCTATGGAGGTGCTGGCTCCCGACTACGAGGGCGCGTTTCTTGTCGAGCCATTCGTGAAGAACTCGAGATGTAACAGCACCGCTGCTGCTGAAGCTGCTAAGGTTCGTTCAGTTTGCCCAATAAAAAATGTGCAGGAAATCCCGAGGGGTCCACTGAGTAATCCAGGTGCAACAGCGTCGCTGCTGCCTGCGCTGCCGCTGCAGATGCCACGGACCGTCCTGCCCTAGAAGAATTATCACTCGTGCGTTTTTTGAAGGGTCAAAATCAATGAACGAGATGAAATAACATCGTCTCGCTCAAAGTTCCCGCTAATGTTTTTGCCTCTACTTTCAATCCCTGCACTCTTCAACTCTTCCATAACAGGAGCTGGTGGCGGGTGGAGTGATGGGCGTGGTGGGGCCGGCATGCTCCGAGGCGGTCGCGGGAGCCAACACGGTCTTCAAGGAGGCCGGCATTCCGTTCATTTCGTTCGCCGCTACTGCTGACGCGTTCGCCGACGACGTGGCGTTCCCCACGTTCTTCCGCACGGTGTACGCGGACCAGCACCAGGCGCGCGCGATGCTCTCTGTGGTGCGTTACAAGCACCCCGTTATATGAACGCGTAGTTCACTGCCATCGTGCTCTATGCTTCCCTGGTTCGCCTGGGTTTCTTATTTTTCTCGTGGGTTGTTTTTGTTTTTCTCATTGTTGTACTCTGCAGATTAAGTACTTCAACTTCAAGCAGGTCAACCTCTTCCACTCCGCCGAGCTCTACGGCAGATCGCTATCGGGCGTGCTCAAGAGAACGCTCGGAGACGCGGCGACGCAGATCGAGATCGCGTATCCCGGGACGGATAACCCCGTGGACTACGAGCCCTACTTCGATGGCGTGAAGTTCAACGAGGGCACCATCAACGTCTTCATCACCCTCCCCAACGTCGCCGAGAACCTCTGGAAGGCCGCATACAACCTGGTGAGCACTTCCAAATAATTATTCTCATATTTAGAATCTCTTCAAATTAGTTAGCGCACAATCCGGCGGACCTATCCGCGAGAGCCTGATCGCTTGCTGGAACAATGACTCTGGTCTGCATCTTTCGTGATAGAACACTATATGTTGGAGGCTTTTGGTGAACCCTATACTCACCTCGTCTCTTCTCTCCCCTCCCCGCAGAACTACACCAAGTTCCCGTGGTGGTACCTCGGATCCGACGGTGCTGTGGCGTTCGATCTGGTGACGGACGGTGATGAGCTCAACCACCTGACGCACGCGCTGCAGGGCGAGATAGGCGTCGCGCCGTACAGTGAGTTTTCTCTTTCCCCACATCCACCATGCGAGTTTTAGAAAATTGCACGAAAATAACTACAAATCTTCCGTATGCGGTGGCTACCGACAATTTCTCGTTCATTCTGTTGGATGGGATGAACTCGCACGAGTCTGACCCACTTCTGAACATATGTGTCTACCCTTAAATTTCCCCCTTGCAGAGGGTAACTACAACCCCCGCAACTCTCCTTTCGTGCGGTTCATGGACTTCTGGAAGGAGAAGTCGCACGAAACGTACCCCGGCCTGCTCAGCCTCGACGTCTCGCCCAGGGTGAGTTACAATGTGACCAATCACATTCAAGTCGCACATCCGGTCTTCGTTTCTTTGCTCATTCCTTGCACTTATTCAGTTTGTCCACTTGAAAAAACAATTTCCTTGGCCTAATAATCCTTCGTCCCCCACTCTTTCCATCTCTCGCTTTGTTCTTCTATCTCCAGTATACTGAAGCTCGTGCGTACGTCACCAACCTGGTGGATGCCATTTGGGCCTTCTACCAGGCGTTCAGCCACATCATCTCCGTCAACAGTATGTGCTCTAAACTTTCTGCAGCCTTGATGATTGAGAGGAGCTATGAGACGTTTCAGATACACTGGTCCTTGTCTCTGACTGATACCCCTGTTGCATTCTCACTCATTCTCAATCCTTCTCTCTCGCTCTCCCTCTCGCAGAGGACGATGTGACGTCAGCAGCAGTGATTGACTGCTTCAAGGACAAGCCGTCTGGGTGCCTGCGTTTCAACGGAGCGTCAGGCACAATGTCGTTCAATAATGTGACTGGAGAGAGGGACTCGGAGGCCCAGACCCCCGAGTACGGCTTCTACAATCTGATTGACCAGACGTGGAAGGAGAAGAGCAAGTGGGTGCTGAACCAGAAGGACATTAACCCTGACCTGCAGTACGTGCTTCGGCCCGGACCTCTGCCTGCGGGTTGGAGGGGCAATCTGACGCTTCAAATGGAGGCCCCTCAGGCGATCATTCCCAAGATGTCGGAGATTGGCGTTGCCGTGACGTACAACCAGATGGAGGTATGCTCCTGATTGACATGCTGTGCAGTGCAATGATACATCACAGCCACATCACGTTTTTCCAGCGCACCCTTTGTCAGGTTTCCAAACATAGGATCATGCACCTACTGATGTTTTCTTCTCCTCTTACACTGGCTGCCTGTCCTGCAGGCAAGCAAAAATGCACAGAGTGCTAGTGCCAGCAGTGGTGGTGGCAGTAGCAGCGCGGCCAATGCGGGAGCGATCGTGGGGTTGGTGCTGGTGGTACTGGTGGTGGTGTGCTTCCTGTCCTACTCCGCCTTCTTCCTCTACAAGCGTTACAAGCGCCACCCGGAGCACCAACAGTTCGTGCGCATGCTGTAGAGTTATTATCTCTCGTGTGCTAGTTACGTGTTTAGTGCAAGTTAAGTAGGGAGGGGCCCCATTAGTTGATGGAAGGTATACATGGGGTTGCTCGAGTGGTTTATTTGTTTAGTGCTGAATAATGAAATCATAATGTTTTGGCCTGTTTCTTTCCTTCACATACTCAGATTGGGCAACCAATAGTCCGGTTTAGACAATTGTACATCATGACTACCACCGTCACTGCTTGCTGAAAGTAGGAATTGAACTTTCTGGTTTGCTAAATCCGACATGTGCCATGCCAGGGAGTTTTTTACGTATCCCTATCATCAGCTCCAACAAAGCTCATTCTAAGACAGTATCATTGTTGAGATTTGAGATTTCTGACAAGTTTGCGTTTGCATGCTCAAGGGCTTTACATAACAGAGAAGCACTAGGACCAGCCAAGCTCAAAAGTCAGCTAACGACGCCTAAACTCCAACGGACACAGGTTGCTGGTTGTTGATTCCTCCCAGGAACGACATGTAGCTGCCAGGTGCGGGGCCTTGGTCGATGAACAAGTCATCAGGCACTCTCAGGGAAGCGTGGACGGCAATCGCGACGAGTCCTAGTGTCACACCCGACATAAGGACGGACCCAACGGATGTCAGACCGAAGATCACCAGGACTGAGATCGCGATCATGCCCAGTAACTTCTCGGTTTCGCTCAAAACCCTTCCTCCAATCACCAGCGGCTGCGAATGGATCATGAAGAGATAGACCCAGGCTGCACCCAGAATTCCGAGCCAGAATATGGAAACGGGGTTCCATAGAATGCTGAGAACGACCATGCCGATGATGATAGCGAGGTAGTTGGCTTTGAAGTACACGATGTTCTTTCGCATCCTGCTGACTGCATCGTTGAAACCCTCAGGTTTGGCAATCTGAGACCTGTCTGCTACTTCGGACCAAGGACGCTGCTGAGCGATCGCTGCTTGGAAAGACTCGGAAACTTTGGCTAGAGAAGCCTTCACAGCAGCAACCTGAGGATTCACAGAACCTCCCTCAACACCTTCGACGACGACTTGTGGTTCAGGGGCCATGCCTTCAGAGCAAGCAGGATCGGTCGAAAATTGCACGAGCGTACAACCTTTTTTAGATGATCGCACTGACTTAGCAGGCTATTCAGAGAAGGAAGAGCTCTAAGACGCGGAGGGAAGAACTGAAGTTGGCAGTGGTACTAGTTGAAATGCAGAATCCAGCAGCGAAGACTAACAAATTTGAGCTGCAACGAGAGCGAAAATTTAGCTTCGACGCACACACTGGAGGCAAGCAGATGGCGGTGTTTTCTAGGCATGCTGTGCACTGGAGGGAGGAGGCACTGGCTAGTAGGTGAAGCTGGTTTGGCGAGGTAGGGCAGGTTGCGACGTTCGGGTGATCGCTGATTTGACAGGTGAATTCAGCTGGTTCGTTTCTGGCTCGGTAATATCGGCGGGATGACCGTTTCGGTGCGGTCACCCTAGGTGCACCGATGTCCGGCGAAGTTGTAGCGGGAAACCGGACCTCGGGTTCTGGTTTGAGTTACGTGGAGGTTATGTCTGTGGCCGAAATAAACCATCTGTTACCGCAGAAAACGACAATTGTGCGAACTGCATCATTGGTTAGGTGACGCTGGCGAAGAGTTCCAAGACTCGAGCGTCGTCCGTGTCTGATGACTGGTCCACACCGTGAGCTCCACGGCGCGCAGTGGCGTGCCTGTTGGGAGCTGGAAGGAATTTCGTGGTGCCGCCACGGCCTCGTAACAAAACGTTGACCTGAACCTCACAGAAACATCTACGGGCACGCCCTCGGGGCCTTTGGTGTCAGTCACCATGTTTCATGGGGCAAATGAGCAAGGCTTGGGCTTGGGCAATCGATCACTTTGTTGGCTTGAAGCCAAACTTACGATGTATATTTCTTCGGTGACAAACGTTTTAGTACGATATCGTTCGTATTATGTGGATTTTGAAGGGCTTCAACTGCGCACTGATGTGGAGCCCCTCTCGTTATCGCTCAAAAACCTCCTCAAGCGATCGGTGTTTTTGCTCAAACCGTCACGAAGCCCATAGCTCTTCCTGAGCGACAACTTTAGTCATCCGTAGCGGAATAGTTAAATTGCCAGGGCTAGCGCCGCGCGTTACTTTTAAGAGGTATCGTGCAACTTACGGTTGAAATATTGTCCTTCGCGAAGTTTCCGCTATGACGGAGCTTCGAGCGCGGAACGCCCCACCAACACCTGCGGAAACGAGAGTAGGGGAACTTACACTTCCCGCGATGGCGGAGCTGGCGCTTGCCGCGGGGTTCTCATCGGCGCAAGCTCCGCGCACGATGTGCTCTCAGTGTCAGCAGGACCCCGCCAAGTACAGGTGTCCTGGCTGTAGTGCTGCCACGTGTAGCGTGCTGTGCGTAAAAGCGCACAAGACGGCGAGCGGATGCACGGGGAAGCGCAACCGCGCGGAATTTGTTCCAATAACGAAGTTCGACGATAACCAGCTGGTGTCAGGTGTGACTGTAGAATCAGGACGGTGTCATGATGGGCAGTGTGGTAATGAATCAGGTGAGCGTGTACCGCGGGTTTTGCTGCAGTTTCACTACTCCCACAACGGGGTAGAAACTTGTAACGAGGCTTCGCTTTGTATCTAGCTTTTCTGCAACCCTGAAACCCTGCAAAACATCGAAAAAGCCCTGCAAAAACCCGGATAATCCCCTCACGAACTGAATTAGACTTCATATTTCTAGAAAGTCTTGCGGGGTAAAACTTGGGAACCCCAACCCTTGTTACAAGCATAAATCGTCTGCTATTTATGGTGCGAGAAATCACGAGACCTACGTTTCCTGGAAGATGTGTAGGCTAAGATTTCCTCCCCCATGGACCCTCCTTCCCCGCCCCTCCTCCTCCCCCCATATGGCTCCTACCCCATGGCCTCACTTTGTCCGCATTCCCCCACTTCTTTCTCTCCTGCCTCCCCAGCAACCATCACGAGACCTGCGTTTCCTGAAAGATGTGCTGCTGCAGTATGACGTGGCTAAGGCCCTATTCCAAGGTCCCTCCTTGCCCACCCTTCCTCCCCCTTCCCCCTGCCCTCCTCACCCCCACCCCCCCTCCACCTGAACCCCCCTCCTCCTCTCCAACCATCGCCAGTCCTGCGTTTCCTGGAAGATGCGTTGTTGCAATATGACGTGGCAAAGACCCCTCCTCAAGACCCCACCTTACCCAACCCCCACACCCCCTCCCCTCCCCCCTCTCCACATCCCTTTCCTTGCAACCACCACCAGACCTGCGTTTCCTGGAAGACGCGTTGCTGCAGTATGACGTGGCGAAGCGCACGCGCATGGCTCTAGGGGTCCGCTACGAGGCACAGGTAGGAAACAGGGCAGAAGGTTCCTTCTCACTCAATCAGGAGTGCCATTCAAAGTAAGCTGAAAAAACGTCTCTGAAGTAAGTATGGGTAGCAAAAAACTCTCTCAAGTAAGTATGGGGCGGTCAGCCAGGCAGAGGGGCATTCAGCTGCTACCATTTCTCCAACCTCCCTCCACTCCACTCAACCACCCACTTATATTTTTCAGCTGTATACCAGGTGGGAATGGACTGGGGGCGAATGCAGCAGACAGCGAGGCAAAGGGACGTGCAGCTGCAACCATTGCACCTTCAACCGTTTTCCACTCCATTCAACCGCTCTCTTACCCCTTCAACCGTGTGCCATCCTCGTTTCTCTTCTTCTGTATACCAGGTGGGAAAGCACTGGGGGCGAATGCAGCAGACAGCCAGGCAGAGAGGCGTGCAGCTGCTGCTGATGCCTCCTGGCATGTCCAAGCGCAAGTCCAACCGAACGTACTTTCAACACAGGTACTCCCGCACACCCACAGTCACTCCACACACCCCAAATCATCCATATAATGCCTTGGCATTGAGCTGCTGCTGATGCCACCAGGCATGTTCAAACGCAAGGCGAACCGAACGAACTTCAGCACAGGTATGTGTTGCAACCACAACAGGCACCCCCTGTCTTGCTTCTGCTGATGCTGGTGATGCTGGTCAGAGCACAAGGCCGACTGAACCTGGTTTCGGCACAGGCGCGTTGCGGTCCAGAGCCTGTGAAACCCCAGAACCTTTTTTTATTCACAAACATACCCAGTTTCCCCCTCGCTTGCCCGCTCTCCTCCTCTCCCTCTCTTGCTGTGTTGCCTTCTCATTTGGCCTGGCAGCCTTATGCTGGTGCCAGCAACAACAGCCACATGCATGCTATTAACCCGTGCTTCTGTGTGGACATGTGCATGTTTGTGCATGTGCTCACCACGGGAAGCGATGCATCATGTGGCATGTACGATGGCAGTTTGCATTCAGGTCCATAAGCATGAATGCTAATGTGTATATGTGTGTATCTGTGAATTTGTATGCGCACTGCACTGCAGGAAGCGGTGCATCATGTGGCATGTGCGATGGCAGTTTGCAATCCGGTCCGTCCGCATGGATGAGAACAACAACAGCCACATGCATGCCAATAACTTGTGTTTCTGTGTGATGTGAACATGTCCATGTTCATTCATGCCCTCATTGCAGGAAGCGGTGCATCATGTGGCATGTGCGATGGCAGTTTGCAATCCGATCCATCTGCATGGATGAAAACAACAACGACAACCACGTGCTTGCCAATGGGAGCACAGCAGCCTCGCTTTCAACGTTCCTTCTGCCACACACGATAGACTCAATGTAAGTCAGTCAGACGGAAAATCGCAAAGCAAAGTCACATCTTCTCACTGGTCAGTTCGAATCCAGTGTCTCTGCTTTTGGGTGCCTCGTCTCATTTTCTTGTATTTTGAGTTCCACAACTTTTGTGGAACTCAGGTAATTTTCTCCTGCCTTTCACAAAAGTTCTGCTTCACCTGGAGTTTTTGCATGTTTCTTTGAGGCACTACCTGTTCACATATCTACTTCAGCCTCTTCTTCGTCTCTTTTATTCTTTGTAACATCCCCATTCCCGTGTTCTTAGAGTTTCCAGAGGATGAGCCGCTTATAGCAGCAGCTGAAGCAGCCATAAGGCAGGCACTGAAAGCCCTAATAACTTAACCCTAATAACTTAACCCTCTTGTTTCTCTCCCTTTCTTGCCTTGATATCCCCATTTCGTACTCTTGTTTTGAGTTTCAGGGGATGAGCTGCTTATAGCAGCAGCTGAAGCGGCCATTAGAAAACCACTGAAAGCCCCTATTGCAGCAGACCGCACCCTCTTGTTTCTCTCCCTTTTCATTCTTGATATCTCCCTTCCCTTGCTATTAGAATCTCTAAGGATGAGCCGCGTATAGCAGCAGCTGAAGCAGCCATAAGCCAGGCACTAGTAACCTCAGTCGCAGCCGCGCATCAAGACTTCATCTCTTGTTCGTCTCCCTCTTTCTTGCCTTGCTATTTCTATTCCCATGCTCTCAGAATCTCAGAGGATGAGCCTCTTATAGCAGCAGCTGAAGCAGCCATAAGACAGGCACTGAAAGGCCAAATTGCAGCAGCACAACCAGCTTCAACTGCACCTCCAGCAGCAGCAGGTGGAACAGCAACGGCATCAGCAGCAGCAGCAGCACCACCACCACAACCACCAGCAGGAGCAACAACAGCAACAGAAACGGCAGAATTGGTGGTACCTGCATCGCAACTCGCAACTTCTCCTTCGTCTTCGCATCCAGCAGCCTCCTTGGGAGAGGTCTTGCAGCGATTGAGACTGCAGCTAGAAACGCCTCCTTCACAGGTATGGTTCTGCTTTTCCATGGGTATCTTCTCATGTGTTACTTTTTGTGATGTGTCCCATGACTAATTAGGAAAGATCTTGTGGCGGCTGAGATCGCAGCAAAGTAGTGCCTCCTTCCCAGGCATGGTTTTTGTGCTTTTTTATCTTTCCCCTTCGTTATCATGCTTCATGCCACAGGCAGGCACCCGCTTGCTTTTGCATGAAATCTGGCAGCTGTGTGAGCTTGATATCCGGCAAACCCCCTCTCTTCCCCCACGGTCCCTCGTCTCTCCCAACCCCCTCTCTCCCTTACACGCTTCTTGCATGAATTCTGACAGCTGTTTGATCTTGACATCCGGCAAACCCTTCGGACACAACTTGCAGGGCGCACGATATTAGAATTTCCCTCCATTAGGGTGTCGTGCTTGGTTGCAGATGAAGAGTCCGAAGATGATGAGAGTAATTCTTCTGAGGATGAAAGTGATAATTCCGATGGGGAGGAAGGCAGTGAAGAGGTTATGGAGGAAGAAGGCTGAGGATGAGGAGTGTTGTAAATACGTAGAAATGTGAATTTACGGAATGGTACACCATTTGATTTGAAAAGTTTCTCATAGGCAGCAAACGATTTCACCAAAGCGGCCTCATTCTAAGGTCTCTTTTTTGACATCACCCGGGACGCCTTGATTTGGTGGTTCTTGATTGATTCCATGACCCGCTTCTCTTGCGCCCAATCAGTAAACAGCGTGCAAACAGCTTCCTGTCAGTCGGATTGGCTGTTTAGTGTCCTCCTGTCCTTCCAAAAATGTTAACGTCCAGGAGTTGTGATAATGCGGGCAGAAGGATTACGCGCAAACTCTTCCGTCTTGTAGTGGTTAACACTAACTTGATGCGTCAGTTGTAAGCGGTTGAATTTATCTTTCACATTGTGAATTCTGGAATTTTATGCTTGTCACTTAGCTCTCAACAGCGGATCTACCCTTCCTCCAGACAAGTAGGGCTTCGCAATACTAGGGTAACCTCAAAACATATGTCTCTCCTTTCCACCATGTCTTTTCGCATCTCCTTGGGACCTCCTGGAGGCTGGAACTCAGCCCAAAAAGCCATGGCCGCAGCGAGTTAGCGAATCAGTGAAAGCGGCAACCTCCGTCCCCTCACCTTTCTACCTATCGTGTTGGTTTTAGAATACATAAAGTACAGTTGCTCTTCTCACACCACGAATTTGTTCTTCCTCCTACAATGCTCCTAGTCCAATCCACTCATGCTTCATCACTTCTACGTGTACGAAACCGCTTTTGAGGATCCAAAAGAGCCAAGCATAGGAAACTGGTGGCTCCAGTTGGCAGGATATTCGGTATCGGGTTCTCTATTCCATGGATGTGATTCTCCTAGTGCACGTGCATCCGATTTCTATGGACTCACGATTCCTGCGAACGGCCACGATCGGCATCCAAACAACCCTTCCATTTCCAAGAGAGTTCCGTGGGTTTTCGCGAAAGCGAGGTAAGTCAGGAATCGGCGAAATGAGAAACCCCTCACGCAACCCTAACCGTACACAATGCATGCTCGAAAGGTCGTCAAAGCGTAGGAGCCGCGAAAAGCCATCAAATTTAGGAGCCGCCAGGGACAGCCAACCATGCTTTGCGGCTAGAATCAGTCGTAAGCCGTACCGCCAGCTTGTTCGTGTAAATGTGTATCCACGCTCTAAAACGTCACCTCGTCTTCAGCCAGCCGTCCGTCGCTGCCCCACGCCCTCTCGGCTCCAATCCACTGCTGCCAGCCGACCAATCAGAGCAAAGCTTCCGAGTCAGCTGGTCGGTGATCGGTTCTCCTCTGAATCCGTGCCGGTTTCCGCGTCTATCGCGTCACCTCACCTCACCTCTCGTCGTGTCGTGACTCCTGACTCGTCACGGAGAGCGACTCCTTTCGAGAGTCGACTCAGAAATCACCTCGCAGCGAGAAACTCCTTGCGAGCTGCAGCTGCATAAGAGTGGATTCGATTATGTCGAAGTAGCTCAGCTGCGCGAAATCCTCTTGCAGCTTAGCTTCCTTCTCCGTCCCGCGGAATTCCGCGCAGGTCGCCGTGCCGCATAGTGCTAGGGATGTTATTTCAGGAAAAACAACTCTTCGTTCATAGTTTGCTCGTTTGAAACGACTTCTAGATATTCGCTCTTGTTTCATTTGAGTTTCGCTCGGGTTTCATTTCGGTTTCGCGGCTCTAATTGCTGCTGCCGTTGCTGGTCGTCACAATGGTGGCCCATCAGGAATCTTCTGCCGTCTCCGCTGCGGCTTTCGTCGCCAGCACCGTCCCAAACGGCGTTTCGGCGAAAGGCGTGCTGGCGAAAAGTTACGAAAGTGACGGACCTGTCGCGAATGGGGTTACCATCGCCAACGCTGTCGCAAACGTGGAGAATGCGTTTAACGAGCTGAAGAAGACGATTGTGAACGTCGGAGCAGACAGCATCGTTCCGGTCGAGGGGAAGAATAACAAATCGGAGAAGGTGGATGAGGAGAAGGAGAGTGAAACGGAGAAAGCGGAGAATGGAAAGGAGAATGATGCGGAGACAATGGAGGATGATGAGGATTACGAGGAGGAAGAAGAGGAGCAGTACGAGTATCCGGTAGTGGCGGATGAACCCGATTCGATCGACGCCCGCGACGCGAACACGCCTGACAAGTACGTCGGCCGGAGCTTGAGGATTCGGTCAGAATTTCGTTGAGGATTGACGTTGCATTCTCGTTGAGACCCCCGAGACCCGTGATTCGAGGAGTCTCTTTTCTCGCCCCACGTTCCCCGTTAGTATGTAGTAGATTCCGCATTTCCCTCCGTCTTCCCCCCCTTCCTCCCAGTCATCCACCCTTCCTGCCTATCGGTACTCCCCCCTTCCCACACGAAACCTCTTCACTTCCCCTTCCCCTCTCACCTAATTAATCGCATCTGCCTCGTGCCATCTACCTTGTTCGCCCATCCCATCCTCGCTCTCGCTTCCCCGTCGTTCTCATCCCGCTTTTCCCTCCGTCCCTTCCCCCTCCCCATTCTCTCCCACATCCCCCCTCTCCCCCGCTTTTCCCCTCTTCTTCCCCCCCTCCCCCACCCCCCTTCCCCCTTCCCCCAACCCTCCCCCTCCCCCTCCCTTTCCCCCCAGGTGGATCCCCCGCCATCCCTCCCTCGTGCGCCTAACCGGAAAGCACCCCTTCAACTGCGAGCCGCCGCTTTCCCGCCTCCTGACCTCCGGGTTAGGCTCGGGCTCTGCTTCTGATTCAGGCTTGGCGCCAGGTTCGGCGGCTCCCGGCTCCCGCTCGGATCCAGCCTCGGGGTTCATCACTCCCGTGCCTCTCCACTACGTTCGGAACCACGGCTACGTGCCGCGCCTGGATTGGTCCACGTGGCGAATCGACATCTCCGGTCTAGTCAGCAAGCCTGCCAGCCTGTCAATGGCGGATCTGCTCTCGATGCCTTCCAGGAAGCTTCCCGTGCTGCTGGTGTGCGTGGGGAACAGGCGGAAAGAGCAAAACGCGGTCAAGCAGACGATTGGGTTCAGCTGGGGAGCGGGAGCGGCAGCAACGACGGTGTGGAAGGGTGTTTTGCTAAGAGATGTGCTTATAAAGTGCGGCGTTCAGCTAAAAGGGAAGAACGCGGGGAAATTCGTGTGCTTCGAAGGGGCGGAAACGTTGCCGGGAGGAGGAGGGAGTACTTACGGAACTAGCATGGAATTATGGAGAGTAATGGACCCTGCAAACGAAGTTCTCCTGGCGTACGAGCAAAACGGGCAGGAGCTTTCCCCGGACCACGGGTTTCCGGTCAGGGTAATTATCCCTGGATTTATCGGCGGGCGGATGGTCAAGTGGCTGAAAAAAGTGGAAGTTACCCGGGAAGAATCTCAAAACTACTACCATTTTCACGACAACCGCGTGCTGCCTTCACATGTGGACGCTGAGACTGCTATGAAGGATGGGTGGTGGCGCAAAAAGGAGTATATTTGCAACGAGCTGGCGATTAATTCGGCGATAGTTAGTCCGGACCATGGTGACGTGGTGGCTTTGGAGGGCGGCGCGGGCCGGCAGGTAGTGACGATGAAGGGGTACGCGTACTCGGGTGGCGGCAGGAGGGTGACACGTGTCGAGATCACATTGGATGGAGGGAGCACGTGGCGGCTGTGTGACATCACCCACCCCAGCCCTCCCACTCGGTGAGTACTCCCTTTCACCACCGCCCCCCACTTCCCAGCCCTGCCTCTTTCCCCACCTTTCTCTCTCGTGTCTTGCCTCTCTTTCTCGTCCCCTCACTATGCCACGACTTCACACTCTCTTCTCCCTCATCTGTGCCTCCCATCCCCTCCCATCTCCCCCCATCCCCTCCCTCCCATCCCTCCCCCCCACCAGCCACGGCAAGCACTGGACGTGGAGCCTGTGGGCAACCGAAGTCCCCGTGATCGACCTGGTGGGGGCGAGCGAGGTTGCAGTTCGGGCGTGGGATGATGCCACCAACACGCAGCCCGATAAGCTGACCTGGAACGTCATGGTGAGTGGGGGATGCTGACGTGGCATGGCATGATGAGGGAGGGCTGCTGACGTGGCATGGCATGATGAGAGAGGGCCACTGACGTGGCATGGCATGATGAGAGAGGGCTGCTGACGTGGCATGCCATCGTGAGTGAGGTATGCTGGCGTGGCATGCCATCATGAGTGAGGGCTGCTGACGAGGCATGCCATCGTGAGTGAGGCCTGCTGACGTGGCATGGCATCATGAGTGAGGCCTGCTGACGTGGTATGGCAGCATGAGTGAGGCCTGCTGACGTGGCATGGCATCATAAGTGAGGGCTGCTGACGTGGCATGGCATCGTGAGTGCGGGCTGATATTGAGTCGATTAGAAAATCACGACAACCGCACCCTGCCCTCTCATCTTCCCTCTTCTTCCTCTTCCATCCCCCACTCCACACCCCCGCCCCCCCCCCCCCCCCACCAGGGCATGATGAACAACTGCTGGTTCCGAGTGCGAGTGGCCCCCACGGTGACGCCAGAAGGCTCCATCGGCCTGCAGTTCATCCACCCCACCCGCCCCGGCAACCTCCCTGGCGGCTGGATGTATGACGCTCCAGGGGACGGCAAGCCGGGGGGAAATATGGCAGCAGCAGGAGCAGCAGGAGCAGGAGGGTCAACTGCTGCTGTTCTCAAGGCAGCAGATCTTCCTGCTGCTGCTGCTGCTGCTGCTGGGGCTTTTCAAACCAAGCCAGGCCCTGCTCCTGCTCCTGCAGCTTCGGCAGCGGTGGCAGGTTCGGGAGAGAGGTCCGGTGCGGCTGTTCGGAAGATCTCGATGGCTGAGATCGAGCGGCACGCGGACGAATCGTCACCGTGGATCGTGGTGCATGGGAGGGTGTATGATTGCACCAAGTTTCTCAAGGACCACCCGGGCGGCAGCGAGAGCATCACCATCAATGCGGGCACGGATGTCACAGAGGAGTTTGATGCGATTCACTCGGAAAAGGCTAAGAAGATGCTCGAGGAGTACTATATAGGGGATGTGGCGGGAGAGGGCGAGGAGGAGGGGCCTTCTGCTGCTGCTGCTGTGACTGTTCCTGCTGCAACGCCCGCCCCCACTCCTCTCCCTGCCTCACCCACTGCCCTCCACCCCACCACACTCGACCCCAAGAAGCGAATCTCCGTGCCTCTCCTCTCCAAGGTCTCCCTCTCGCCGGATGTCCGTCGCTTCCGTTTCGCCCTCCCCTCGGCCAATCACATCCTCGGGCTCCCGGTCGGCAAGCACTTGTTTGTTTGTGCCAAGGTGGGCGGCAAACTGGTGATGCGCGCGTACACGCCGACCACCTCGGACGAAGACGGGGTGGGGTATTTCGACCTGGTGGTGAAGGTCTATTTTAAGGGGGTAGTTCCGCAGTTTCCCGACGGCGGGGTTATGTCACAGCACCTAGAGTCACTATCGGTCGGTGACACTATCGAGATTAAGGGACCTTTGGGTCATATAGAGTATCTCGGGCGAGGAAAGTTCCTGGTAAGTGGGGAGGAGAAGCAGGGGAAGAAATTGGCCATGCTGGCGGGAGGCACCGGAATTACCCCCATTTATCAGGTGGCAAAAGCGATTCTGGCTGATCCGGAGGATAAGACGGAGATGTGGGTGCTGTTCGGAAACAGGTCGGTGGCTGACGTGCTGCTACAAGACGAAATGGACCGGTGGGTTGAACAGTACCCGGGAAGGTTCCATGTTTGGTACACTATTTGCGAGCCTGTGCCTGAAGGGTGGAAGTATGGGATTGGGTTTGTCACTGCTGCAATGGCCAATGAGAGGCTGCCACGTGGCGGGGAGGACAGCCTGGCGCTGATGTGTGGCCCTCCGCCCATGATCAGGGCGATGACGCCTTTGCTGGAGGGGATGGGTTACTCTAGTGATCGCTTGTTGACGTTTTGATATGTGAATGTGGAACTATGCTGTTTTGTTTCATTTCTTTGCGTAAGAAGAAAATCCTGTTATGGTTGGAGATTGAGACTAAGTGTTGGCTAAGTCGCTTCAGTTACGCACATATTAAGAACAGCCTCTCATGCTAATGTATTGTATCGGATCACACACTGGAAGCGTCTGCGGTCGTTTTGGGTTTGCGGAGGAGAATTCCCAGGCCAGGACAACGGCAACGAGAAGAGACCAACAGCATCCTAGCGAGTGCTGTCAAATTCATCCAAACCCGCCACTTCAGTTCCCTCACTTGGTTAGTTACTCATTCACGTTTCAGTTACTTTTTCGTCGTCGGAGCAAGCACTTGGTTGACTCTAGCAGCTGAAGCTACCTTGAGTGTATCAGAGCGAGCCAGTTGTTTGAGAATTGTAGAGGGCTCGATCGTCCTGTTGGGCGCGCGAAGCTCGCGACGAGACTTAGAAGTAGGCTAGGAGAACTACGGTAGTTGCAACAGCTTCCTCAGTTGATCGATTTAGGTCCTTGACCATAAATTTTGGCAACCGTGATAGTTTCTTCGTCGCAACGCGTCTAGAGAAAATCTTCAGCATCCAATCCTGATCGTCCACGTCAATCTCTGATCATGGTAAGGCGAATCTGCTGTCAATCAGGTTACCCTCACTCCTGGTTACCCTCTCTCCCCCTATTACCCCCCCTCCTGGTTACCCTCTCTCGTTATTACCCCCCCTCTGGTTTGAGCGGCGTACTTAAAACCGGAGGGCCAAGAAGGCCCAAATTGCCTCAACCTTCCTAACCTTGGTTGAGTTTGGCACTCGCACCCAAAACCTTAGCCAATTGTGTTGCTCACTCCAACCAAGCTTCCTAAGGTTGAAGTTCTTGGCCCGCGGATTTAGCCTTGCGTTCTTGGCAGAGTTCCCTAGAATTTCTCAGCGACCTCTATTCTTCCCGCGGTAAGGATTTGTTTGGATTCCCGATTGCCACGGCGTATATACAAGTATTGCAAAGATGGCCATGGGACGGTCAGCGCTGGGTCCTGAGGTGGTCCGTACTACAGATGACCCTAACAAGCTAGTCGTTACTTACGAGGCAAGCGGACCTAGTGAGTTATTCCCTTTCTTGTTGTGTGGGCAACATGGATTTGGGACTTAGTTTAGTATTGTGGCTGAAAACGATACATGGTTTAGAGACGGATCCGTTGAGGTCATCTTTTTTTTAATTCTCAGAAGTTGCGTTTGCCCAATCATGCTGTTCATTCGTCGAAGCCCTGTCTATCACAACAAGACGATTTTTGAGACGTCTCAAAAATCACAACGAGACAAGTTTGCCGGAATTCTATTTGTGATACCTTTTTTTGTGTTTTCCTGATACCTTCCTGGTCAATCGCCTTGTCTATGTGCCTGATCGCTTCTTTTTTTTTTAGCAGTCACAGTCCAATCTTTCATGTTTCCCTCCCCAGCTACTACCCTCGATCCATGTAATATTTCCTGCCGTCTGGGGGCATGGGTCAGCCACTGAGCCTGAATGAGATCATGACCTTCTCCTTTCTGCCGCTCTTTTGACGTTACTTTTGAGAACTCTCAAAAGTAACATCAACTTACCCTCAATCCATGTAGTATTTTCTGCCGTCTGGGGGCATGGGTCAGCCGCTGAGCCTGAATGGTATCATGGCCTTCTCCTTTCTGCCGCTCTTTTGACGTTACTTTTGAGAACTCTCAAAAGTAGCATCAACCTACCCTCGATCCATGTAATAATTCCTGCCATCTGGGGGCATGGGTCAGCCGCTGAGCTCCAATGAGGTCATGGCCTTCTCCTTTCTGCCGTTCCCTGAATCTAAACATTCTCCCTCCACCTCCGTCATCCACAATTCCCCCACCCCTCCCCCCCCCCTCCCCTTCTTCCCCTTCTTCCCCCCCCCTTACCCCCTCCCCACGGCAGTACTTTCCGCCGTTTGGGGGCATGGGTCAGCCCCTCGGCTCGTTTGAGCAGAGCTTTCACGTGTACCCCGTCTCGTTCATAGATAAGGTGCGGTGGGGTGCGGTGCAGTGCGATGCCATCTACTGAGAAAAGGAAGTGTGAAGGTTTTTTTAGCAGATCCTCCACGTGTATCCCGTCTCCTTCATAGATAAGGTGCGGTGCAGTGTGGTGCAGTGCGGTGCATGTGAGTAATGAGGCGTCTTGAAGCCACTTGGAGCAGAACTTTCACGTGTATCCCGGCTGGTTCATTGATATCGGTTCTGTTGGGGGGTTGTGTGAGTCAGATTTATCGTGAGGGGCTTGAAGAGTCTGTTGGGGGGTGTTTGAGACTAATTTCGAGGTGCCTGAAAAGCCTGTATGGGGGTTGTGTGAGCTTTGATGAACCAGCCAACCTTGAGTCATGTGATTGTTTTCCGTTTACTGTGTTACCGTCCTCCTGATTGAGGGAATCGCACAACACCGCCTGTTTTTTATTGCCTAGAAACGTTCTGTTGTTTGCCATCGCGCATGGCTGGCATAGGTATGCGCTTTCATGTTCAATTATGTGTATGCTGTACCTTGTATCTTCGGGCAAGAGAGTACGTTGTAGCTGAGTCGTTCCAGCACTTATGTCTCCCTCCATCTCTTCTTTCTCTCCCCTCCTCCCCCAACATTCCCCCACCCTCCACTCCCACTCTCCCCTAATCGTTACTCCCTTTCCCTTCCCAATTGTCTTCCGATTGCTGTCAGGCTCACCTCGAGAACGGCGATAAAGGTGTGTTGGGAGGGGCGTGTGCGGGGAGGGAAGGGGTGTGTGGGGGGGAAAGGGCATGTGTGGGGTAAAGGGCTGGTGTTGAGATAAGATGGTGTTTGTGTATGGGGGCTGGTGTTTGGGGGGGGGAGGTGGTTGTTGCCTCTATCACGCGTCACTGACACCCTCCCCTTTTTTCGCATATACACCCAACCCCACCCACCCCTCCCCCCACCCCCCCCCTTCCCCCTCCTTTTCTTCCCCCCTGCCCCTTCTTGCTTTTTCTCAATGCCCAAAGCAACCTGCCTGGCATGGTAATGCTATGAGTCGTCTTCCTAAACCCAGTAGTATCACTGCATGAGTAATCAAGCCACTTCACTCTCTTCGTACCCTGCCCAACATCCCCCTGCTATTCCCGTCCCGCTCCCCCCCTCTCCCGCCGCCCCCTTTTTTTTCCCCCTTCTCCCTCTCCCCTTACTGCTATGAGTCGTCTTCCATAATTCCATGTCACCGCATAAGTGATAAGCCGCTTCACTCTTCTTCTGCATGCATCTTCAAGTACCCTGCTTACTCTGTTTGGCTTAAGGGATAAGCCAAACATCCCCCTTCCTCTCCCTGCTCTCTTCCCTTCCTTCTCCCCCTCTCGCCCCCTGCTTCCCCACTTCAAATCGGCGCCATCCATCCCTCCTTACACCTGTGGTTCTCCCATCAGTCATCATGCCCCCCTCTGCTCTTGACAGGCTCGGTAAGTCACCGTACCGGCTATAGGCCTGCCTTGTCTTCAAACAGGCTCGGTAAGTCACCGTACCGGCTATAGGCCTGCCTTGTCTTCAAACAGGCTCGGTAAGTCACCGTACCGGCTATAGGCCTGCCTTGTCTTCAAACAGGCTCGATAAGCCGACCATACCCGTTGTAAGCATGCTCGGATTTTGCACCCAATCTGCACCGTTCCGCCATGATCCATCCCTTCATCCTCATCCCCAGCCCCTCGTGTAATAAGTCGAGTTTTTAGTCGACTCAAAACTCGACTTTCACCATCCCTTCTTCCTCATCCCCTGCCCCTCGTCCATGCTTTTCGAAAGGGTGACCTTTGAGTCGTCTAAACATCGCCCTTCCTCACCCCCTTCATCTGAAGAGAAATTTAACCCATTGGCACCATTCCTCACCCCTTTGTCTCCCATCCCCCCAATTTCCTTCCCTCCACATAGACTACCCCATGCTGTTTTAGGTTCACAAGGCAGCGACCAACCGCACGTCATACGCTTATACCCATCTGTACCGCTCTCCACTCCCCACCATCCCCCCCCCCCCCCCCATCCTCACCAGCCTCACTGCACTGCGCATAGACTACCCCATGCTGTTTGAGGTGCACAGCGCATCGGCTAATTGCATGGAACACACTCCTGTAACCCATCTGTACTGGTCTCCACCCCTCCCCACCCCTTCTTCCCATCTCCCCATCCCCCCATCCTCCCTGCACGTAGACAATGCAGCGGCCAACGGAACAACACACGCGCATCCTCCGTCACAACCCATCTGTACCACTCTCCATCCCTCCCCATACTCCAGCCTCCCTCCACATAGACTATCCCGTGCTGTTCGAGGTGCACAACACAACAGCCAATCGCAACTTATCTGTACCGCTCTCCACTCCTCCCCAATTCCCCGCACCCCCCCAGCCTCCCTGCACATAGACTACCCCATGCCGTTCGAGGTGCACAACGCAGCGGCCAATCGCACAACACACACTCATGTTCCATCACAACCCATCTGTACCACTCTCCATCCCCCCCCCCCTTACTCCAGCATCACTCCAAATAGATTACCCCATGCTCTTTGAGGTGCACAACGCAGCGGCCAATCGCACGTCGCACTCTCATCCTCCATCACAACCCATCTGTACCGCTCTCCATTCCCCCCCATCCCCCCAGCCTCACTCCACATCGATTACCCAATGCTCTTCGAGGTGCACAACGCAGCGGCCAATCGCACGGCACACACTCATCCTCCATCACAACCCATCTGTACCGCTCTACCCCATGCTATTTGAGGTGCACAACGCAGCGGCCAGTCACACGTCACATGCTCATCCCCTGTCTGTCACAACCCATCTGTACCGCTCCCCATCCCCCCCCATACTCCAGCCTCCCTGCACATAGACTGCCCCATGCTCTTTGAGGTGCACAACGCAGCGGCCAATCGCACGTCGCACTCTCATCCCCTGTCACGACCCATCTGTACCACTCTCCATTCACTCCCACCCTCCCCATCCGGCCAGCATCACTCCACATAGACTACCCCATGCTCTTTGAGGTGCACAACGCAGCGGCCAACCGCACGTCACACTGCGGCGTGTTGGAGTTTATCGCAGAAGAGGGATATGTGTACATGCCGTATTGGGTAAGGCATGCTATTCATAGTAAGTCATCCTGTATTAGGTCAAGCAACTCTGTGGTGTGTTGGAGTTCATTGCAGAAGAGGGATATGTGTACATGCCGTACTGGGTAAGGCTTGGCGTATTGGGTAAGGCTTGCCGTATTGGGTAAGGACTGCTATTCATAGTAACTCAACTTGTGATAGGTTTGCCAACACTGCGGCGTGTTGGAGTTCATTGCAGAAGAGGGATATGTGTACAATGCCGTATTGGGTAAGGCTTGCCATATTGGGTAAGGCTCGCCATGTTGGGTAAGGCTTGCCATGTTCGGTAAGGCTTCCATATTGGGTAAGGCTTGCCATGTTGTGTAAGGCTTGCCATGTTGGGTAAGGCTTCCAGATTGGGTAAGGCTTGCCATGTTGGGTAAGGCTTGCCATATTGGGTAAGGCTTGCCATGTTGGGTAAGGGCTATGGGTAAAGCTCGCCGTATTGGTTAAGGCGTGCCTGTATCGGGTACGTTTCTGTGCCTGCTACACATGTCCTGTATCCTTTCCAGATGATGCAGAATCTGCTGCTGCAGGAGGGGGACATTGTGCGGTTCTGAGTCAAAGTCACATGTTATTTGCTTATACCCCGTACTCTCCCTCCTCCCTCCTCTTCATACTTCCTACCCAGATGATGCAGAATCTGCTGCTGCAGGAGGGGGACATAGTGCGGTTCTGAGTCAAAGTCACATGTTATTTGCTGATACCCCGTACTCTCCTCCCTCCTCTTCATACTTCCTACCCAGATGACGCAGAATCTGTTGCTACAGGAAGGGGACATAGTGCGGCATACCCAAAGGAAATATTGTGCGATTTTGAGTCGACTCCCAAGTCACCTGCTGATACCCTCCCTCTTGCTCCGTTGCTACCCTGCACCTTAACTCTCCAGATGATGCAGAATCTGTTGCTGCGGGAGGGGGATATAGTGCGGTTCAGGGTGAATTTTGAGTCGACTCAAAAGTCACCCTGCTGCTGCAGGAGGGGGATATAGTGCGGTTCAGAGACACCACCCTCTTTAAGGACACTTACGTGAAGCTCTTGCTGATTCCTTCTTTCCACCCCCTTCCCTCGCACTCTTCCAGAAGATGCAGGAGCTGCTTCTGCAGGACGGGGACATAGTGCGCTCCTGAGCTGACAACTCACCTGCTGATACCCTTTTTTTCCTTCCCTTCTGCCTTGCACTCTTCCAGAAGTTGCAGGACCTGCTTCTGCAGGAGGGAGGGGGACATAGTGCAGTTCAGAAACGCCACCCTCCCAAGGGCACCTACATGAAGCTACAGCCACACACCAAGTCACTCGCTGATAACCCCCCTCCTACTCCCCTCGCTGACTACCCTGCGTCCTTCCTCTCCCCTCCCCCGCCCTTGGCCTTTATCAGATGATGCAGAATCTGCTGCTGCAAGAAGGGGACATTGTGCGATTCAGAAACGCCACCCTCCCTAAAGGAACCTACGTGAAGCTGCAGCCACACACCAAGGACTTTCTAGACATCTCCAACCCCAAGGCTGTGTGAGTGTTCCTTTGGAAGGTGTGCCTGTAGTGAGTGATGTGCTTATTGGAGGGTGTCAGAGGCGCCTCACCCCACGTGAAGCTGCAGCCACACACCAAGGATTTCCAGTCATCTCCAACCCCAAGGCTGTGTGAGTAGTGGTTGCGGGTGGCCTGTGTGAGTGTGATTGTAAAGGATGTGCTTGTTGGATGGGCATTGGGCAAAACAACCCACCCCACCCTCCCCAAAGGAACCTACGTGAAGCTGCAGCCACACACCAAGGACTTCCTAGATATCTCCAACCCCAAGGCTGTGTGAGTAGTGGTTGCGAGTAGTCTGTGTGAGTGTGAGTGTGACTGTAAAGGATGTGCTTGTCGGATGGGCAAGAACAACCCAACCCACCCTCCCCAAGGGAACCTACGTGAAGCTGCAGCCACACACCAAGGACTTTCTAGATATCTCCAACCCCAAGGCTGTGTGAGTAGTGGTTGCGAGTAGTCTGTGTGAGTGTGAGTGTGACTGTAAAGGATGTGCTTGTTGGATGGGCAGGAACAACCCACCCCACCCTCCCTAAAGGAACCTACGTGAAGCTGCAGCCACACACCAAGGACTTTCTAGATATCTCCAACCCCAAGGCCGTGTGAGTAGTGGTTGGGGGAAGGGACGGTTGTGTGAGTGTATCTGTGATTGTAAGGGATGTGCTTCTTGGAAGGTGTGCCTGTAGTGAGTGATGTGCTTATTGGAAGGTGTCAGAGGCGCCTCACCCCACGTGAAGCTGCAACCACACACCAAGGATTTCCAGTCATCTCCAACCCCAAGGCTGTGTGAGTAGTGGTTGCGGGTGGCCTGTGTGAGTGTGATTGTAAAGGATGTGCTTGTTGGATGGGCATTGAGCAAAACAACCCACCCCACCCTCCCCAAAGGAACCTACGTGAAGCTGCAGCCACACACCAAGGACTTCCTAGACATCTCCAACCCCAAAGCTGTGTGAGTATAAGTTGGGGAAAGATGGGGGATGTGATTGTAGTGAGCGATTGATGTGCTTACTGGGGGGGGGGAGAGCAGTAACCACCCTCCCCAAGGGCACCTACATGAAGCTGCAGCCACACACCAAGGGCTTTCCAGACATCTCCAACCCCAAAGTTGTGTGAGTGGCGTTTCTGTACTGGGGGTGTGGCTGTAATGGTTTGTGATGTGCTTATTGGGGGGGGATGATAACACCACTCTCCCTAATAGCTAGCTCATACGTGAAGCTACATGCAGCTACCTGCGACCCGTGTATCCCTTGTGTAGGCTTGAGATAACACAAATTTGGATGCTGGGTTAGATTTTCTAGCGGTGATGGTAGACACTTGGATATTTTCCAGGACTACCGCACGGCTGGGATGGTCACAGAGTTCGCATATGTGATGTTTCGACGTTGATTTCCAATAACTCGTGTGTTTATTACGCCGGTGCAATTTGAAGCAGTGGTTTTTATGGATAAAAATGATAACAATCTTTTGTGGTAAAAGATGGTTCGAATTCTGTCACCCGTGAGTAAAGGTGACATGAGAAAGATGCGTGCTGAAAACATGACGAGTTCGGTCAAAAGAAGGCGTGTGGGGGGCACGAGAGTGAGAGGGGTTTTAGGAAGGGCAAGGGACTCGTGTTATTCCTACCCCTCCTAGTACACCTCCTCATTCTTTTGCCCCCCACACGCCGCTTTCGACCGGACTCGTCATGTTTTCAGCACGCATCCTGCTCAGGTCACCCTCAATCACGGTTGAGAGAATTCGAACCCACAATTGACTGTCCTCATTTTTATCCATAAGAACCGCTGCTTCGTACTACACCAGCGCAATAAACACATGAGCTATTGGAAATCGACGTCCAAACAGCACAAATGCGAACTCTGTGACCATCCCAGCCGTGCGGTACTCGTGAAAATACCCAAGTGCCTACCATCACTTCCAGAAAATACCCAAGTGCCTACCATCACCTCCAGAAAATCTAACTCTGTATTCAAGTTTTGGCTTCATTCATATCGTGGATGCGCGCCCAATAGCAGGCATCTCAAACCTCCATATTCTCCCACCCTGCCCCCTCCCTCCCCTTTATCTCCTTTGTAGGCTCGAGATGACTCTGCGAAGCTTCTCCTGCTTGACGAAGGGGGAGAGCATCATGGTGGCATACAACAATAAGCGCTACTTCATTGATGTTGTGGATGCGCGCCCAGCTGCAGCCATCTCCATTATCGAGACGGATTGTGAAGTCGATTTTGCGCCGCCACTCGATTATGTGGAGCCGGAACGAGTGCCTACACCCGTTAAAGCACCTGCTGCTGGTGCTGCTGCTGCTGCTGCCGGCGGCTCTGAAGCTGGAGGGAAGAAGGGCGCTGGGAAGGACGGAAAAGCAGGTATGTGGGAGGAATGAAACAGAGAGTCAGAGAGGGCAGGCATGAGCAGGTGTGTGTGAAATTAGCAGCAGCTTCTGTCGGTGCCAGTGCCAGCGGCTCTGAAGCTGGAGGGAAGAAGAGCGCTGGGAAGGGCGGAAAAGCAGGTGTGTGGAAGGAGAAAGAGTGGGTATGTGGATGCACGCCCAGCAGCCGCAGCAGCAGCTTCTGCCGGTGCTGCTGGTGGTGCCTCTGAAGCTGGAGGGAAGAAGAGCGCTGGGAAGGACGGAAAAGCAGGTATGTGGAAGGCGCGAGAGGGAGAGAGCGGGCCATGGGCATGGGGATGCACGCCCAGCTGCAGCCGTCTCCATCATCAAGACTTGGCTCATGGGATTGTGAGGTGGACTTTGCTCCGCCCCTCGATTGTGTCGAGACCCAGCGATTCCCAACATCGGCAGGTGAAGGAGCAGTAGCTGTTAGTGCTGGTGCTGGTTCCAATTCTTGAGGCGCCTCAAAAGTAGGTTCTCACACCAAACAGATGCAAAGCAGCCCACCTTCACACCACTTGTTCCCCTCCTTACTTGGACCCCCCTTTCCCCCACTTTCCCACACCCCGCCCATGCTTTTCTCTCATCTCAACCAATCAGACGGAGCACTTCCACTTAAGGAGCCCACCTTCATGCCGTTCCCCGTACCCCCCGGCCCGCCACACCCTCCGCCGCTCCCTTACGTATGCCCTCTCCCACACTCCCCTGCTTGTTTCTCTCTTCTCAACCAATCAGAAGCAGCCCCCCCACCTGAGGAGCCCGCCTTCACGCCATTCGTCGGCACCGGCAGGCGATTGGACGGCCGCCCAGCAGCCTCCCCCTCCTCGCCTGCCACATCAGCAGCCGCCACGTCAGCAGCATCAAGGGAGGGCGTATCTGGGGCAGGCGGGGCCGGTGGGGCTCGTAGCAGTGGTGGTGGCGCTGGGAGTAGTAGTTCGGGTGGTGCTGCTGGTGGTGCTGGTGTGGCGAGTGGGGGGAGGAAGGAGGGTCGGCTGGTGTTTGGATCGGGAGACGGAGCACCACGAGCGGGTCCCAAGGTATGTGGTTCAGTGCGGTACGGTACGGTGTAGGCTGATGTGTTTGTGTGTGCTTGCTGGTGGTAATGGTGCTGGTGGTGGTGGGGGCGCCGGTGCTGGTGCTGCCGGTGCAGCGAGCGGGGGGAGAAAGGAGGGGTGGCTTGTATTTGGGTCGAGAGATGCAGCACCATGAGCGGGTCCCAAGGTACGTGGTTGAGTACGGTGTGGCAAGGTGTAAGGTGATGTCTTATGATGCGGTACGTGTTGTGGCACTTAATAAGATTTTTTTGGTGAATGCGCGCACATGATTGCGTGTGATATATACATTCTTTTCATCTTCCCGTCATATAAATGTATGCGAATTATGTCTTCTCTGCGTGCAGGCCCCAAAGAAAAAGGAGGAGCCTCAGAAGGAAGAGCCACAAAAGCCATCCTTCCAAGCCTTTTCTGGAAAGGGTTTTTCTTTGCGTTGACGCTCCAGCAGGTCATATAATTTCACCTATCGCTGTGCGGGTTTGTAATTGAGAAATTAATGTGTGGCTTGCTATTTCCCGCTGGTGTTACGGTACCCATGTTTGCACAACGAGTTGCTCTCATGGATCAAATGTAGGGTAGCTACTAAAATCATTAAATATCATGAGAAATTGGATGTGCAGACTTTCAGAGTGTATTTATGTCGTCATAGCGGTGTGTTCAGGGGCAACACTGTCCAATCAAAAGTTTCGCTTTTGAACGGATCAATCACCCTAAGCACCAAATCAATCTCTAATCTACGGTTATAAGCAGTCCTCAGCGGTGCGGCTGCATCGCGGCCGTTCAGTCCGTATCAGTTCGCACTGCGAGAACTTTCAGGGCGGGGTCGCGACGCGTCGTCGAATGCATAATCTCCTAAACTGGTTCTCGAATTCAATAACTACCTAGAATCCACTTGGCTTATCGCTACTAATTTTTCTGCGTAGTTATACGAAGTGTGGTTTCTCGCCACTGTCACATTATTTTATAACCGTTGTGCAAACGGATCTGGCATTTTACCGTCTCGATCCGTGGTTGGTTACCACCAATAAGTTACATTTCGGTGTATCCCGTTATCTACGCGCGAATCAGGACGAGAGTCGAGATTCAAAATGGCGGAATGGTGGGCGTGGGTACTGGTTACGATCCCCGTTATAGTAATTTCGTTTGAGATCCTCGCGTGGGCTTGCCGGCCAAAGCGAATCTCGCTAAAGGTGTGAGTGAGAAACGTCGACTTAGTATCACGTACAATGCGTCACCTTTTTGTCACATTTCTCGAAAATTCGGCCCATTTCTTTTCCGCGATATGGCTTTAACGGCATAGGGTTGTCATAGGAGCAGTGGCAGTCAGCAGCTTTTGAGAATCCTCGAAAGTGCATACGGGAAGTGGTAGTGGTGCAAAAGGTTCCCCTTTTCTCCTTCACTACTGCTCCGTCCGCGTTCCTTCCCACACACCCCACCCACAGGCCAAAGCCAAGCTGATACTGGGTGGTTCGAGCTGCATAGAACTGTGCATGGGGAAATTGGCAGTGGAGCAAGGGCTTTCCATTTTCTCCCTCACACACCCCACACACCCACCATGCGCCACACACCCCACACACCCCACACACCCCACAGGGCAAGGCTGTGCTGATAGTGGGTGGTTCGAGCGGCATAGGGCTGTGCATAGGAGAGATGGCGGTGCAGCAGGGGGCGAGGGTGGCGATCGCTGCTCGTAACAAGGACCGGCTGGCCTCAGCACACAAGCAGGTGGGTGCTTTCATCAGGAGGGTGTGTGCATAGGGGATTGATGGCAGTGCAGCCTATTTTTGAGTCGACTAAAAAATGGGATGGTGCTTTCAGTCAGGGCCTCTGCTCACAAGCAGGTGGGTGCTTTCATCAGGAAAGTGTGTGCATAGGGGATTGATGGCAATGCAGCAGGAGGGGGTGAGATTGGCGATTGTTGTGTGTGCTTTCGCCAGGGTGTGTGTGTAGGTGTGCTTTCTCACTCACCCACTCTCCTCCTTCCGATCCCTGCCAGCTTGATGCCTTGAGGAAGCTTGACGCCTTGCTTCCACCTGACGCTCCCTCTTTCTGCACTCTTTAAGCCCTTCTCTTTTTCATCATAACGTGGGCTCATTTTCCCAGTCCGTCCTCTCCCTTTTCTCACTCACCTACTCTCCTCCTCCCTATCCCTACCATCTTGTCGCCTTCCTTCCAGCTGGCGCTCCCTCACCCAGAACTACTTTCGTCAGCTACCTTCGTCAGAGAGGAGAGGAGGATGGAAGAAGCTGGCGTCAGCTACCTTCGTCAGAGAGGAGAGGAGGATGGAAGAAGCTGGCGTCAGCTACCTTCGTCAGAGAGGAGAGGAGGATGGAAGAAGCTGGCGTCAGCTACCTTCGTCAGAGAGGAGAGGAGGATGGAAGTAGCTGGCGTCAGCTACCTTCGTCAGAGAGGAGAGGAGGATGGAAGTAGCTGGCGTCAGCTACCTTCGTCTATACCTTTCCATCCTCCTCTCCTCTCTCTTGAGTCGACTCAAAACTCACCCAGAACTTTCGTCTATACCGTTCCGTCCTCCTCTCCTCTCTTGATTTCTCCATTTCCCCCTTTCCCTCTCCCGTTCATGCTGCTTCCCTCCCAGCTGGAAGCCTTGCTTCCACCTGACACACCCTCCTCCGATTTCCTCTGGAGGAAAACCCCAGCGGGGTGGGGTCCATGTGATTTCCCTCCTTTGGTGTGGCTCCCAAAACCCACCAGCTGGAAGCCTTGCTTCCACCCCCAACACACCCTCCTCCGATTTCCTCTGGAGGAAAACCCCAGCGGGGTGGGGTCCATATGATTTCCCTCCTTTGGTGTGGCTCCCAAAACCCACCAGCTGGAAGCCTTGCTTCCACCCGCAACACACCCTCCTCCGATTTCCTCCTGTCCGTGGCGGCCGATGCGGCGACTTTTGAGTAATTTTATAACTTCTCTTCGTCCTCATTTTCTCTCCCATTCATGCCTCATCTCTCTCAGCTAGAGGCTTTGCTTCTACCCGACACCCCCTCGTCTGATTTCCTCCTATCCGTGACGGCCGATGCGGCGAATCCGGACGATGCAAGGAGAGCCATTGATCAAGTGGTGGCCGCGTTTGGACGGCTGGATGTGGTGATCTGCTGCCAGGGGCAGAGCACCCCACATCAATTCGAGTTTGATACCGTGGAAAATCAGCAGCAGGTGCGTGTGTGTGTGAGCAGCGGAAGCAGCAGGTGATCTTGTAGGGAAAACCAGCAGCAGCATCAGGTGTGAGTGTGAAGGAAGCAGCGGTGCATGTGTGGTGATTGATCGTCTGCTGCCAGGGGCAGAGCACCCCACACCAATTCGAGTTCAATACCGTGGAAAATCAGCAGCAGGTGCGCGCGTGAGGAACGTGAACTAATGGGCGTCAGTCTATGTGATTCGATTTCCGCATCAATTTGCGTCAGTAGCCCATCTCCCCATTGGCACTGTTCGTGTGTTCTTCTCTGCTTCCCTCCCAGTGCACCCCCCTTCACCTTGTGTTCTGTCTCATAATACCCTCCCTCTTCAATGCACAACACCCCACCTTCTCCCCCCTCACCCCATCAGCTCATGAGCGTCAAACTACTGGGCGTCTGTGTATGTCATCCGAGCAGCCTTGCCTCTTCCCCACCCCTCCCTCAACGCACCCACCTCCCCCACTTTCCCCCACTCTTCCTCCCCCTTATCACATCAGCTCATGAATGTCAACTACTGGGCGTCAGTGTATGTCATCCGAGCAGCGCTGCCAGCCGTGAAACGGGCCGGCAAGGACGGGCGGATAATGCTGGTGTCGTCTCAGGCAGGGCAGGTGAGAGGGGGAGTAATGGGAGGAGTAGTGTGAGTGAGGGGTGGGGAGCAGCAGAAGTGGAGAGGCTATGTGATCCGGGCAGCCCTGCCAGCCGTGGAGAGAGCAGGCAGGGAGGGAAGGATAATGCTGGTGTCGTTTCAAGCAGAGCAGGTGAGAGAGGAAAGAGGGAGCGGAGGGGGGGAGAGGGGACGAGGCAGATGAGTAGGCGGGGAGAATTGCACTTTTGAGAATTCCCAAATTTTATTTTTCAAGTAGTCAGGGAGAAGCGCACTTTTGAGATTTCTCACAAGTGATTTTCAAGTAGACGCGGAGAAGTGCTTGCCATCTCCTGTTTCAATGCTGAGGCTACTCAGAAGTTACTCTTGAGTCGGCTCAAAACATCGTGTGACATTATACTGAGGTGACTTTTGAGTCGACTCAAATGTCACCTCAGTAGGCGGGGAGAAGTGCTTGCCGTCTCCTGTTACAGTGCTAAGGCTGCTCAGAATTCCCCTGTTTTCCTGCCCCACTCCCTTGTTCCTCCTCTCCCCCCTTTCCAGGTGGGTATCTATGGCTACACAGCCTAATCAGCCGCCAAATCTCGAGATGTGAGGTTACTTACAAGTCCCTTGTTCTCCTGCCCCGTTCCCCTATTCCCGTTCCCCTTGCCAGGTGGGTATCTATGGCTACACAGCCTACTCGGCCGCGAAATTCGCTTTAAGAGGGCTGGCAGAGGCACTACAAATGGAGCTGGAGCACGTGGGGACGAGGGTGGTGATGCTGTTCCCTCCTGACACCGACACGCCCCAGCTGCAGCAAGGTGAGTGGCAAGAGCAAGGTACCCTTGCCTTCAGAGCGACATGAATGCACTGGCAGAGGCACTGCAAGCGGAGATGGTGCGTGTGGGGACGTGGGTGGCGATGCTGTTCCCTCCTGACACTGACACGCCTCAGTTGCAACAAGGTGAGTGAGGGTCTGTCACTGGTGGACTAGGGGCACTGGCAGAGGCAGTGGCAGAGGCACTTCAGATGGAGCTGGTCCATGTGGGCACACGCATTGTGATGCTGTTTCCTCCCGACACCGACACGCCTCAGCTGCTGCAAGGTACTCTTTCCTTGAGAGGGTCATGAGGTGAGGGGTCTGGTAGAGGCGCTGGCAGAGGCACTACAGATGGAGTTGGTGCACGTGGGCACATGCGTTGTGATGCTGCTGTTCCCTCCTGACACGGACACGCCTCAGCTGCAGCAAGGTGAGAGGCAGGGCGCCAGCTCCATCACATCACAGCGGGCGGGCAGCAACAAGCCCTTCCCTCCCTTGATGCATAGAAAAATAGTTTCGACCCTGATCCACAGCTCTAGCTCGTTCTAATCTCCTCTAGGCTGAGCTTAGGCTAGTAGGGATTGAATAAGCAAGGAAAAATGTCATTCCAAGACCGAGCGTGCGCGCGTTTCGGCCGATGGCCTTCGTCAGCGCTCTCAGATTTACAAGAAAAGACTACTCCTTATCTACTCCCATCTTCCGTGCCCAGCACTCAACCAAGAAACAAAAGTCCAGTGTGGCTCGTCTTGCGGCTCGCTAGCTGGCTGTACAATGCATTTGCAATGCAATTCAACGTGCAGGTTGGTGGGATGAATTCAATCCCATCAACTCACGGGGTGGTGTATCCCCGTTCTTGAAATCTCGCTTTCACCAAGCGGTTGCGTAACCTCTTTGGCAAACGCCAACACACTAAAAACTGTGGGAGGAAGATATGATGCAGCGTATGTTTTTTGAGAATTCTCAAAAACCCCCCAGCCCCAAGTCCAAAGTTCTTGGACATCTTCTTACCTTCAGGGACTGGAGGACTTCCCTCGCTTTGTGTTGTTGGCAGCTGCGAAGCAGAATCGGCCTGTCTTGATGTTTGATGCTGTTGAAGATAGGCCTGAGAAAGTAATCAGGGTAACTTCTGGCCTTTAGCCTATTAAAGAAGAGGACTTTTCTCTCCCAAAAGGTCTTGAATGATGAGTTCCGCGGACAGTGGGGTTTCAGCTCACTGGTGATGAATCCTCTCTTGCACTCTTCTTTAAGAGGCTAAAGGCCAGAGGGTACCCTGAGTACTTTCTCAGGCTTATCTTCAACAGCGTCAAACATTAATTCCATCACATCACAGCGGCGGGCAGCAACAAGCCCTTCCCTCCCTTGACAGCCACCACCGTGATGAGAGCTGCAACCCCCCATGGTCCCCCTTTCTATTCCCATCTTACTCCCCACTTCCCACCCACCTCACCTTCCCAACCCTAACCCCCTCCAGAGAACGTAACCAAACCGGCAGTCACCAAAGCCATCACAGAAGGCAACAAGCCCTTTCCTCCCATGGCGGTCGGGAGAGCTGCGATCTCAGCCGTCGAACGCGGAGATTTCCTCGCTCCTGTCGGATTCGACGGCTGGATGCTCAGCATCGCCACTGCAGGTGAGTGATCTGTCTGCGGCTCTTGTGGAATCTTTCTGTTCTCCTGCCCCCTCGGTACCCTCCGCCCGTACCTTTCCCAGCCCTTCCTCTCCATCCTCCTTATAGGCATGATTCCCTGTGCTTCACTCAGCAAAATATAGGTTACCTCCACTTCCTCCTCACCTCCCTCCCTGTTCTGCCAACCACCCCACCCCCCCCCCCCCGCTTTCCTCCTCCTATCCTCGTTTTAGGCATGTCGCCCTGTGTGTCACTCAACAAGCTCTTACTGGAGCTGCTTCTAGCGGGGCCAATGCGGCTGGTGGCAGCAGCAACAGTGGCGGGCTTTAATGCGAGTGCGAGGCGGTGGCATAGAATCAACCACGGCAGAGGAATGTGAGTGTTCTCTCCTACGTGTTGTTCTTGTTTTTTTTTCTTCTTCTTCTTCTTCTTCTAAGGGGTGCTTGGGCATCCCCGTGGCCCCCTTCTTCTGATCCCTATACGAGCAACTGCTAGCTCTGTGGCACGAGGATATGGGTTTGCAAACGAGAGATTCATGTGTTTGGAAGAGTTTGCATCGCCAAACTAAAGTTGAAGCCAAGAATGGTACGTTCTGTTGTTGCTTTAAACCCCCTTCTTTCTTTCCTTTGCAGCATGCCAAGCATGAGCACCTAACTATTACCGAGTCACCTTGTGGTGAGATATACAATTATGTTTGCCTCAGGAGCCATTTAAGGAAATGTTTGCAATGATTTCGCTACCTAATTGAAGTTTTATTTTCTTTGTTGCTTGTATGCAATTATGACACCATGGCAGGTATGAAGATCACCAGAAAGCATTGTAGCATTGATTCTTGAAAAACTGTATGCTACACAATCACGTGGGCTGCCAACGTAACATAGAGCCTTTTGCCGAATAATGCGCATAGTTTCGTGAATATTTCAATAACAATTTGCCAACTGCATGAATGGTTTCGATTGGGCGCTGCTGTTCGTAGAGCTCAAACCAATGAGCGCGCATGTCGTACCCAGAACCTTTCCCTCCACCCAGCAGCCGCCACAAGCGTGAAACAGCAGCAGCTGATTGGTGACTGCTGTTTCCCCATCCGCACCGCGTATGCAAAGGGCAACCAAGCCCAAAAATTTGTGGCTCAGAAAGCCCAAGACCTCCCCAACCAGTCAACTCAGCCACGGAACAACCGAGGGGCAAAGCTACCCCGAACCTCAGGTTTGGAAGTCGGTAGAAGTCGCAGTTCTTGGTGGCAGCAAATCGGCCCGCCTGCAATTTGCATGGAGGGACTCGCGGTTGCTCCCCATGTCGTCCCCCGAGTCCCGACCACCCACCACCACCCCCAATCTGAGGTCAGATTCACGCCTTGATTCTTCATCCCACCAGCCGCTCTCTGTCCAGCACAGCTGCTGTTCGGCACTTCCAAGAGACACTCTCTCAACAGTTGAACCATTCGTTGAAGGAGCTAAGAGTCGCTACCTGACTCTGCTATGCAGTGCAGAGCTTACAAATAGACGACTAACGCAGAGCGTAGCACTAGGGAGAGAGCTTCCCCTGCTGTGCACCCGGCCCTGGGAACGACTTTTGTAATAAGACCAACACTTTGATAGACAATTCAGTCATTTGCTAAGCGTGTCAGCGGAATTCGCAAACGTTTGCATTGCGACAATACTGTATCTGTCTGCGTTTTCCCGTCCGTCGGTTTTTTCGGTAGCATCCGTCTCTTCCTTCCTCTCCTTGCAGTCTCGTGCCGCCGATACGAACCGATTCTAAAGCCTTCAACTAAACATAACCGAACCGCTCGCGTTGAACAAGAAGTTTCTTCCGTCGAGACTCGTAGCCATCATGGCATGCGGCGTTCATCTCCGACCGTTGCAATTGGCTCCTGCGACAAGAACTATGACAGCACCAGTAGCTCCAGCTCCCGCATCATTACAACCACCTCGCTCCTTAATTTCTCTTCAAGAATGTCATAACGTTGTCCCTGCCCGCGCTTCGGTTTCTAAAAGGCATACTTATTCTTCGACACAAGATTGCCTCTCGGCACAAGCTCGCAGCTCTCGCAATATTCACGTCGAGTCTTCCCGCCGAATCGCTTTGAGCGACACCAGACATTCGTTCGCTAAGCGCGGCGCGGCACGCGTGCGGGCTCAAGGTCCCACCGCCGCCGCCGCCGCCGCCGCCGGCGCTGGCGCTGCGGGAGCGGCCGATTTTTCCGAGGTGCGTTTCTGTCTGCTGCGTCGCCTATCCAGGGGCAGTTGACTCGTATACTCCCATGAATTGGTACTGTTTCTGGAGTTTACCCTGTCCACGCGCCCCTTGCTGGTGAGGTTTCCGTTTCTTATGGTTCTTGATAAGCATTCTCACTTCTTCGCATCTCCCTAACTTTACGTTCCCCTCCCTCGCCCTCTCCTCATCTTCCTACAATCTCTTCCCCGCTCTCCCGTTTCCCCCCTCCCCACTTCTCCCCCTCCGTCGCGCGGCTTCTTTTCCCCACCATTCCCCCCTCCCCCCCTCTTTCCCACCCACCCGCCCCACTCCTTTCCGCATCGCCGCCCTCCTGCCCTCTGCCTGCGTGCGCGCGCTCCGCCAGTTCGCCGCGGCCATTCCGCAACCGGCGCCGCCAGAAGCGGAGAAGAAGCAGCCAATCAGCGACCTTGTGTGGCCCGCCGTCGGTGAGTGGGGCTGCGCTGGTGTCTGTCCACCGGGATTGGGGATTGGGAATGGGGTGGGGTGGGTTGGGTTGCGGTGGGTTGGGGCGGGTTTGGGGAGGGATGGGTTGGGTTGGGGTTGGGTTGGGTTGCGTTGGGTTGGGTGGTTAGTCCACCACTCCGTGCCACCTCCATTCCATTACGCCCCCTCCCATCCCACCCCTTTCCCACCCATCCCGGCCCATCCCATCCCCCGTCCCTCCCTGCTTCTTCCTTCTCTCTTCCGAAATTCCTTCCCATCTCACTGCACCGCAACCCACTCCTCCCTCGCCCGTCTCATACCTCTGGACCCCTTCGTTTCCGTGGCGAGGCTCGCCTTCGCGATTCTTAGGACGCTCCAAGAGCCTCCGTCTTCCCTGTTGCTGCGTTTCTTTTCCTCCTCGTCTTCCCCCTTGCTTCCCTTTTCATCTAATTTCATTACATCTCATCGAATCCCCCTCTTATTCCTTCTCCCCCTTTCTTACCCCCCTTCTTCCTCCTTCCTTCCCCCTTCCTGCCTCCTCGTTCCTACTCACCATTCGGCGCATTGGTGTCTTTCGTGGGGTTCGCGTTAGCAGACCACCTGTTACAGTCACACGGCCTCACAGTCTCCCTCGGTTCCTTCGCCGCTGTTTCCTTCCCTCTGTCTCCTGCTGTCAGGCGCATTCGTGTCCTTTGCAGGATTCGCGTTAGCGGACCATCTGTTACAGTCACACGGCCTCACAGTCTCCCTGGGATCCTTTGGTGCCGTCTGCTGCCTCCTCTTCGCCCTGCCGCAAGCAGCCGTCTCCCAGGTGAATACTCAGCCTTCAGGTGACTTTCTTCGGGTGTTTTCACTATGTCTGCTGTCTCCTCTTCGCCCTGCCACCACAAGCAGCTGCCTTGTGGGAACGGCGCTCATACGAGTGGCCCTCTTCTGCCTGCTGAGTCCGTCACCCTTCTCCTCAATTCCTTTCCAACCCACGCCTTTCTTAGTGCGTCCCCCTCCCCCACCCTTAACAGTGCAAGACCATCCTCGTTGCCCATGTAGGAACGGCACTCATAGGAGTGGCGCTCTTCTGCCTGCTGGGGCCGTCATGGCTCGCCAAGGCGGCTGTTGCTTTCCTTCGCCCTTCTCCTTCACTCCCTCGCCCTCTACTCTCCTCCCTCCCTACTTTCTTGCTCCCCTCTCTCCCCAACCAAAACCACAGCGCAAGACCATCTTGATAGCCCACGTGGGAACAGCCCTCATAGGAGTGGCGCTCTTCTGCCTGCTGGGGCCGTCATGGCTCGCTAAGGCCACAGCAGTTGCTGCTTCTATCGCGTTCATGCAATGCACCAACTCCGTCCACCCCCCTGGTGCGTTATAAGCACGCATCAGTGCTCGTTATAAGCATGCCTCAGTACTTATTATAAGATTGCTTGATTACTCGTTATGGTGTGTTTGGTATGTGTTGGGTTGGCTCGCTAAGGCCACAGCTGTTGCTGCTTCTATTGCGGTCATGCAATGCACCAACTCCGTCCACCCCCCTGGTGCGTTGAAAGCACGCCTCTGTACTCGTCATAAGCATGCTTTTGTACTCGTTATATTGGCTTGCTTAAGCTACAGCAGTTGCTGCATTGTGCCTCTATCACGTTCGTGCACTGCACCAACTCCATCCACCACCCCCACCCGGTTTCGCTATAAGCACGCTCAGTAACCCATATTCACCTCAATAACCCATCTACACCTCAGTGACAGAGATATGCCGCTCGTGCATCAGTACCCGCTGTTTTGGTATCTTGCAGCCAAACCTCCCTGTCCCTCCCCCACACCCTCCCTTATATCCCCTTATCCTCACTCCCCATCCCTTACACCCCACCGTCCCCCTTATCCTTCCTCGCACACACCCAGCTGCCGGCCTCCCACTTATTTTCCTCGACGCCCCCAAGTTTCATCGCCTCAAATGGTGGTACCCGCTCTTCCCAGGCCTTGTGGGCTGCCTCTGGCTTTTCCTTGTGGTGAGTTGCACATTGCACATGCTCATTTTCATGACCTGGATATCATATAATTTAAATATCTGAATGCTCGCCCAGTTTGGTATGCTAATCTCTCTAAGTAGCTTCTTAAAAGTCATTGTTTTTTTAAAATTTCCATGTTCCACCTTACGTATTGATGTCTGTGCAGCAAGAAGGGATCCTATTTTTGAAAGAGAAGGTGAAGTTCTGACAGACATTTATGTAATAAATTGTATTGATGTCAAGTATTATAATAACATGCCTTGTGCTATGTTCCCAATCAGCTGCGTGCACTATGAATGTAAAAACTGTTGTGAACTACAGAGAAAACAGATTTTGCTGTTTGCTGTTTGATTGTGCAGGGGCTACAGAACTATCTAGGTCAATCCAATCTCACTGCGGCTGATACTAAAATGAAAGGACACGTACGTGGAGTCAATGTCCAGCACATCAATTGCCTAGATATCCAGGTGTCACGCTCCCGGTCACGTACGCATGATCCCTAAAACAGCGCACACGGTTCTGCCTGTCGGCGGACGCGGTGGTGATGAGCATGTCGAAGCGCACAATTGAGCACTTCGGACCGCACATTTCCCAGTCATTCAAGGACATCCACCTGAAGCAAGATATGGTTTTACTCCTGAGAATCCAACTCGTCCTTCCTACCAACTACCCTACCCGACATTTCTCCAATATCCATGCATGAGCAAGCATCTCCAGCTATGAGAACTCGCGACGTGGAGTTTAGGAGGTGAGCCACACAGCTTCTAGAGCACAGTCGAAACTCCAGAGAGTTTTAGGAGCGCATGGCGATAATGACGGCTCTTCAAATGCGAGCGAAGGATCCGACGCTCCCAAAGCATCACATTTTTGTCGAATCTTTTTAGCAGCTCTCGCCTTAAATCCACGAGTTTCAGCTTCACTCCGCGAGGTCGTAACGCGTTAAAAAAAAAAAAAAAAAAAATATGTCCCTTCCCGTAAACGATCGCAAGACTACTAGTCACGCCACAGCTGCTGTACTCGCACGAACAATGGAGCAACCGACTTTAGGCAGTGGTGTGACCTACGTCGACAGTGGATGTACCGACTATATCGTCGTGGGCGGCAAAGTCGACGTCTATTTGGAGCGCTTTGAGAACATTTCTGGCGCTGCGGGCGCGAACACTGAAGAGACTCGCGCGAGCGTTCTTGGCTGCAGATTTGGCTCCCCACGACGGTTTCGGGTTACCTGTTTCGCTCAAGACGACGCGCATCGTCACGATGATGATGAAGCGATGGACGCGGCATGGACATCGGACGTGTCCTTATCTGGAACATGCAAGCCCGAGAGCTTGAATGTTGCTGTCAACTGTCATCAGCATAGTATGAGGCGACTCCAGGTCCTAGGAGTTAGGAATGGGACGCCTTTGCGGAGGCAAAAAGAGGACTATGGCGGCCGTAGTGAAGTTTCATACTCCAAATCTCCAGATTCAGAGCAGCGAAGGCAGCTTGTTCCAACGTTATCGCTTTAAAGTCTGAATTGATGTTGATTAAAACTGCATTTGTTATTCTCTACATATATAGAACGTTCAGACTTACATGTTCAGATACGTTAATCGACAAAACTTTTATCTCCCTGATCAGACTTACATGTTCAGAGTCGATGGATAGCATTATAAGCATGTGTGGATAAGATTTTCCAACTTACATAGCATACACTCATTTCTGCAAGAAATGGTATCACAATATTGAAGGAACAGTAGCGAGTATCCTGGTTAAGGATTCCAGGAATGGTTTCTCACCGTTTTCCCTCCCCGCCCCTCACCACCGCACAGGCGCATACACAACCCTCTTCAATCTTTGTACACCGCGTAAACTCACACGCACACACACACACACAACACACACACACACACAAACACACACACACACACACACACACACACACACACACACACACACACACACACACACACACACACACACACACACACACACACACACACACACACACACACACACACACACACACACACACACACACACACACACACACACACACACACACACACACACACACACACACACACACACACACACACACACACACACACACAAACATGGACACACTTTCCACCCATCTTCAATCATTTCCGCCGCCCCTGCCTTTCTTCCCCTCCACAAAATGGTTGCGTTCTCTGGGGAGAGACTAGGGTGATGAGATTCGGGGCCAACCACACACCACTTCAATCATCATTTGTGCCCTGATGACAACGTCACGTGGGTTTCAACGAAGACTGTACGAGCTGTTCAGTCGGTGCATTTCACGTGCGTTACATCACATCCTCTCCTGCCACCCCTAGAAACACTCAGTGTAATCGAATCCGCTGGAGGGGTAAGGAGGATCGTGTCAAGTTCCAGGTCAACGAAGTCTACAGTGTGTTATAGATGCTGCGGAAACGCCCCCGACCCGAGGCTATAGCGAAGCAAAAGGATCTGATTTTAGCCTACAGCATTTTTCAACACCAGTTGATTCTGCGTGTTGTTGACCCTCCAAATTCATGGTCAGTGCAGCTTGGGCGGGAAGAGTGGATATTTCTACCCACATGCTTACCCAAACCACCTCAGGTGGGGCCTCGTGCTCCCAGTGGAAATGATTCCCACAAAATCAAACTCGAATCCCTTCCCCCACAGACAACACTGGCACCTGGAGCCTGGTCCGCCATACTCGTTCCGCGCAGCCAACCAAAAGCATGTTCTGCCCGCCAGCCTTTCGTGTGCGCTTCAATTGAGGCTCCGCCCATGCTTCAACGCTGCACCCCGCCTCCCTTCCGCTCTGTTATCCGCCTTGCCTGGTTCCGCCCTCCTCCCCTCGTCTCGTGATTTTCTGCCACTGATCCGTCAAACACCCATCACTGCTCCAAAGCGCATAAAAGGTTCGCTACCATCGCATTTTATCTCGTATCTGCAGCACTTGCCCTCTCCGTACAAATTATTCCTACCCTCAATTTGAGTGAACCACTCCAGCTACTTTCTCATTTGACCCTAGTAAAAAGCACGTATCAACACGTTGCCGTTTAAGCAAACCCCTCGCAAGCTGAGGTTAAGCTTCATTGTCAAACCCTAGAATCCATTATGGAATCTTCTGCCTCTCTGGCTTTCGTTCGCGCCTGCATGCCTCGTTCACCTATCGCCGACACATGCGGGATGGCCTCTACTTTGGCCACGTCAGCTTCGAGACTCACACCGGCTATGCATGGAGCTGTTGCTGTGTACGTCGACGACTTGGATCGTCGTTCCGGCGCGCACTCACCTGATGACATTGAACTGACACGCGCACGCGTTTTAGGTTGCCGACACGGTTCCGTGCGTCGATCTCGCCTGGCAGCGTTCGATGAAGATGAAGAGGCTTCAATCTCCAGTGCCTGCGGAATGTCTGTCCATCGTCAAGAGATCCTTGGAACGCGCAACGGCACACCTAAGCGTGTAACGACGACGACGCGGACACCTCAATGCGAAGAGAACGCTGAGCTCGCTCCCCTTCGCAAGACTGTGTCGCTCTAAATGCAGCATGTCATCTTGTCACAGCAGGCTTTACGTACGGTACCTTAGCCTTTTTTTTGTATTTGCTTCTGTTCCCACGGACAAATGTGCTGTGGCAACTGGAAGCTAGTACATTTATCAGTACCTTTCTTTGTCATAATGTATTAGGGTGTGTACATAGCCACAAGCATGTCGCCGAATGAAAACGAGATTTAATGCCTTAGAGCGTGTTCCTACGGGGCCCCTATCAGGCCAACCTCTAGTCAGATTCGACCCGATCACAAATTTCTCAGTGTAAGGCGAATTCGTATTGGACAAATTTCTAGGCTCAGTTCGGCAGCCACGGAAGAAGGGCGGAAGAAAAATGTTTCTAAGCTTCTAATTGCATTATCGAGGGCCAAACAGTACGGGCTGTGTAGTAAACTTTCCGGAAATCGAAACGCATGTGTTAAGCAGCAGCGACGCGAACACCTCCAAACATTGCTTCCGCGCCGTCTTCTGTCCTTATTCTCTCCCCCTTCGCGGAAAGGTTCCGCCCTAGTGAGACGGAAGAAGGTGATTCTTTGAAAACGGAAGAATCACTTTTCTGATTGAGAAAACTGAAACGATAATGAATGAACTCTCAATGAAGTGGGTACAAGTACTAATCCTAATTGGGTTGTACCCCCTATGAGATACCACACTACAGCCTACACAAAAGCATAAGCTATAATGTTCTGACACACCCCCATAGGCAAAATGGGGGAGAACAGGGGGGTCACAATACCAGTCAAGCAAAGCAAAACAAAGCAAAGCTCAGGGTGGATCACAAAGGCACCACACATTCCGAGCACAAGTTCAAGGCCAGTTCACATGCAGGAGTACATATATATATAAGGCTAGACAAGCAAGAGCAGATATATATATATGTAACAGTACAAGCAAGGTCAAGAGGTGAGCTAGTGAGGCAAGACAGGGACAAGACCCAACTGAGTGCAGAAGCGCTGATGATCACAAGGCGGAAGTGCCTTGGTGAAAACATCAGCAGTGTTGGCCTCAGAGGCCACGTACGCAAGCCGCAACTGTCCACGCTGCTGTAGCTCACGAGCAAGAAAGTAGCGGAGAGCAATGTGCTTTGTTCTGTGCTCCAGTCGCTGCTCTCGACACAAGGCCAGCATGGCCTTGTTGTCTACGTACAGCACTGGAGGAGAACGAGGCGGCTCTCCGAGGTCAGTCAGCAGGTAGGTGAGCCAGCGAAGCTCCTGTGCAGCCATGGCCCCAGCGTAGATCTCAGCCTCACAACTGGAGCCGAGAACAGAAGACGAGCGAGTAGCTCGCCACGAGAAAGAACCGGAACCAAGGCTAAAGGTGTAACCCTATGACGACCGCTGCGTAGCCTGGTCATCAGCCCAAGAAGCGTCTGCGTGCCCAGTAAGGACCACTGGACTGCGCCCTCCAAGCACTAGCCCCATGCCCGACGTACTGCACAAGTAGCGCAACAC